AAGATAATGGCGTTATACCACCAGATCCGCTGCGTGTCGTCACAGTTCGACTCTTTGGCTATGCGAAAAGTACCCCATTTGAAGAAACATATATAAGAATATTATATAAAAAGAATAAAGAATAATGACGTTATGCCGCCAGATCCGCTGCGTGTCGTCACGGTTCGTCTCGTTGGCTATGCGAAAAGTACCCCATTTGAACAAACATATATAAGAATTTATATAATAAGGAAGAGGGATGGATGATAAGAATATTATGTAGAAAGAATGAAGGATAATGGCGTTATGCCGCCAGATCCGCTAGACGTTTACTTTAAAATATTATTTCTATAATATTTATATAATATTACCTCCATGTGTTTTCATAATATATTTCTACCAGATATACAAAACATTTCGTTTCACTTTAATATAAGTATCTTTTAAATATTATCTTCCGAATATATTATAAACGTTTTAAAAATATTTTAAATCAAAATCACACGTTTCGCTCCCATAATGAAATAGCGGAACGAAAATATTACAAAAATTTCTTGGATTTTTTGATACCAAGTGAAATGTCCGATAATAATCGTGAAATAAAAGAAATGTATTTTTATTATATTTTACAAATTAAAAATATAATTACGATAAATATTTCTAAATAATTAAAACTAAATATGTCATTGAGATTTTCAACAAATATTTCAGACACCTTCGAATGAAATCTACAAGAAATCTGAAAAAATATGTCGCTTGAGATATTTAGCAAAGATTACAAAGAAATATTTAGAAACTATTCTATGCAACTAGGGCTTCATTATTACTTTACCGAAATGACATATGGTACGCTTCAATTCGTATAATTCTCAACGTAGACTGTAAAAGACTTCAACGTGAATATAAATGTCGATAACGGATCGCGCCAGCTTATGTTACCACTTCAGTGTTCAAAATGGCGTTATCACCAAATAGGGTATAGATGACTTTTATTTTATCACCGTCGATTAAATTTCTCATCGCCTGTCATATCGTCTTAACGAGTGAAGGGTTGAAGTTGCCGCTTGATGCCGCTTGATGCCGCGCGAATGCACGTCGGATGCAAGTCGGGGATGCAGTTTGGAGTCACCGCGTGCCGGCATAGTGCGCGCCATTTACCGTCCGGAGTTCCACCGCGGCCTCGTCAAATGGCAGCAGCGATGCAGCATATTTTATTAGAAACAAATATTCATGTCACATACCCTGCGCCGGCTGGTGCCAAGTGTTTGACTGTTACCCTATGCTGCACGTGCGCGAAAGCGAGCCCGGACCGCCACCGGCTTTCTGTCGCTTTCCCCTTGCTATCTCCCTCTCTTTCCTCCATTTCTAACTCCAAGAAGCATAAAATGATATCGGACAAGTCCTATACCTTTAAGTAATCATCCCTGCGACTCTTCTAGCAAAGGTCTCTTTGTTTCTTGCGACGTTCGATTGAAAGAGCAAAAGGACACACAAGGAAATAACACTCGAGACTTCCCGCCGATTAGTTTCACCGAAGAGGCAAGAGAGAAATGACTATTTTCCACCTGAAGGAAGCTGCATGTCGGAAAATGTTTAAAACAAAAGTTACGTCGCATATTATTGCAAACGAGTTTTGTATAACACTTTTCCTTCTGTTGTGTTTCATTACGACAGAATATCGCAGATTTAATCGAATTGCGAACCTCCTGCCGATTAGTTTCACCGAAGAGGCAAGAGAGAAATGACTATTTTCCACCTGAAGGAAGCTGCATGTCGGAAAATGTTTAAAACAAAAGTTACGTCGCATATTATTGCAAACGAGTTTTGTATAACACTTTTCCTTCTATTGTGTTTCATTAGATACGCTGGTTAATGCAACCTCCTCCCAAGGTTGTCCCGGATGTTGCCTTGCAATAGGGTTACGATTACCACAATTGTGGTTCTTCTTAAATTATTTTTCCGTGCAGTTAACCCTTAACGGTCGTAAGTCATCTCTCACGTGACAACAGTACTTTGTCGCTGCGGTCGTATGGCACATGTGATGTGACAAGACGGACTACAACCTAGGGAAAATCATGTATAAAAAAGCTACCGTCCGATAAGGGTTAAATTCCATTCATCCGATCTGGTAATCTCTCTTCGCCGTGACAATAAAAATCCTCTCAAACAGTAATACTGAAACTGATATGGCAAGAAGCTTATTTCTAAGTTCCACTCGCCCGTTAAAAATGAGCGGCAATTAGCCGTTAATCAGCGGCACTTTAACGGGCGCTATTCCGCAGCATAGGGAGAATTAGATCCCGGACACTTATTCGCGTAACCGTGATATTATTCCGGGACTGCGGGGAACAATCGAGCGGAGAAACGTCACTCCTTCGGACGGGAGGGGAGGAGATCTCATCTCCATCCTCCGCAATCCGGCATCTCGGGGCTCGGAGCTGACCGGGTGCTCGGATCGTATAAACGAGTTTCCCGGGGGTTAAGGGTCGGCTGCAGCCCGGAGATTCAAAAGGACAAGCCGGCCCCGAAGACGAGGACCACTTTCTCGAAGAGCCGTGAAATCCTCCGGCGCTCGAGATTTCCGCACCTTCGACGGGCCATATATCACCGGGCCATTATGCCTCTCTCTTGGCCAGGGAGGCCCCCGGGTAATAATACCGCACAATTACCGGAGATCTCAAGTTCCCGAAAGAAGGGAAATAAAATCAGCATAAAGCGAGCCACCAAATGGCGCCGGCAGACCTTAATGAAAGTACCGGTGCGGGAACGAAAGCACGGCCCTTAAATTAATTCGCGATGAATTACGTCCGCGCCAGCTGTTCGAGCAGTTGTGTTTATTTATGAAGGAACTAAGATCCTCTCGGTACTCCTTAAACGGCGATTTATCTTTAATCCCTCGTTTACTCCGCCTCGCTCTTTCCGTATATGGCTTTCGTTCCCCCCTCACCCGCGGTACATTATTAAGTAACTAGGTATGATCTACTGGGTACATACGCGCAGCGAAGGTCCCTGCAGAGCACTCGCCCCGAACGGAACGGGAAACGTCGTGACTGGGAAATTCGAAAACCGTTGAGAGGCGGGGATTACGTTTAATCCTTCTCGGCCTGGCGTTGAAATTACCGACCGAAGGGGGTGGACTAACTTTCCAAAATATAATACTCTTTTTTATAGGACTTCGGGATACTCCGCGCGCGTCAACTTACACGAACGAATGCGCGAATGATAAACTCTTCCGTTGGTGAATAATTTCAACCGGAATCGCCATTATCTCGGCCGGTTCTTCTGGCAGAAATACTAATCCAAATTGTCCGTAAATCAAAAAGGGGGAGAAACCTAGGATGAAGGATTTTTATTGTACCTCTTGCGGGGATCAAGTGTTGGGGTTTAACGCACTCTTCATTTTCAAAGTCCGACATTCATGCAAATGCGTTACTTACGTTTTCTCAAACTCGAGTATCCGACAACCTCTCTGGACAGTGTTCCATTCATTGCGGAGTGTTGCGGAAAAATATCATAAAATATTGTAATTATTATGTACCCAAAAGTGCCATTGGATTTCGTCGTCGAATGTCGTTTTTAAGGGTTTAATCGCGTGCAATGAACGCGCACGTCAATCTCTATCTAACCTACGAAATAATCGTCTTCGTACTTACCTCGTAAATTTATCAAGAAAAGAGACGTCCAAGTTTGAATTTTTTAAACAACGGTTAAGGACGACACAACGAGTGCGCTGCTCGAACTCAGCTTTATTAAAACTTCAGCTTCAACAAACATTACAGTACGACGCTCGGATAAGATCTAAAGCTTACGGGATAACCAGTGTAACGACGTAGTCGCGTCTCCATAAACTAACCGATCTGTGATCTACGCCCGCCCGGAATAATCGTGGGGTAACGAGAAAACATTAAAAGGGGGATATAAAAATATCGATTACTCTCTCGTCCTCGAAAAACCGTCAGCCACGTCCGAAGTCTCTCACGCGCGGATTTCTCTACGAAGGAAGCGGGACTCGCAAGGAAAACGTGCCCCCGATTTTTCGGGGACAGCCCGAATTTTGGGGGCCCCCGAAAAATCGGCGAATCTACGGAGCGGACCAGGAAAAAGTGCGAACTTCGAGCCGCGGCCGAGGACTTCGGTGAAGTTCACCAAAGTTCATCGAAGTCCCGACAGCGGCCGACCCTCGCGAAAGTAGTCGGAGAGATTTACCCTGACCTTACGATATATACATGGTACATATACACTTACCGCGTACACTCCTTTTTCTGCACTAACATTCCCCCAGTATGTTGACGGATCGCCGACCGAACGGAAACGCGACGCGAGGACCAGCCAATCAATCGGAAACACCGTAGAAAATTCCCCATCGGGATTGTCACCAGCTAGGATCAATCGGAATCCATTTCGTACGGTGACAAATCGAGGGGCATTTTCTACCCCATCGTGCACAAAAGTCGTTGTCAAGTTATGGTCCGGCATGATCTAGACTAAAAGACGAATCTGCCGGCGATAGGGACGACTGTGCGAATCTTCGCCCACCTTCGAAACGTCTCGACTTCGACTTCGAGTCGATACCTTTCGCGGGTTTTACATTTCGATTGCCTGGACCTTATGAGAATATCGAATGGCGGGCCGCCCAAGTTTTTTCATTAAACGCTTGTTACGCGAAACTAGGAACGCACGTCGCCACGTGGGAAGAAAAGTTCGCGCCTTCGAGATCGGGGATTTCCCTCGCGCGCGAGTCGCCCCAAGCCTGCAGATGGGTCCTCCTCGGTCCTAGTGCTCTCCCCTAACAGTTCGCCACCTTTTCTTCTCTCCTTTTTGTTTATTATAACTACACAAGTGTAAGCCACTCAGGGAAGACGATACATCGAAACCGTCGCCGCCCAAAATCAAACGAGTTAAGCGCCCATCCATCTTTCCGGAGCCTCGATATACAATATGTATAATCTTCGCGCAATCTGTTTGCGAAGTGCGAAGGAAACTCCCCGTCGCTGCTAAAAGTGTCCGAAAGCCCTGTTCACCGAACGCTCGTTAACGTTCACCACCTGCGTCCTCTTTCGTTGCCAAAGTGTCCCGATTCTTCGTTTACTCGGTTCCGCTCGATCGATACCTCGCTCAAGAGACGATGATAACGAGGAAGATGAGTATTTCGCTCCACATAGAAGTTCCGAAAAATTTCCTGCTCCCGGAGGTGGCGTTTATGGGCAAGCCAGGACGCTTCCTGTTGGTCCCGGTTGGCGATAGCGATGATACCGAAGGATATCCCAAATGTCCGTGGACCGTATTGTCTATCGAGTAGGGCTTGTTCTCCGATTTCTCTATTTCGGCCGATCCGAAGACCACCTCGTCCTTCTCGTCGTAGTAGGCCGTTTGCGACTTGGTCGCCCCTTGAATGTCGTGAAGGTCTGGAGAACATAAGAATAAGCGAAACGACTTATAAGAATCTAGTAGATATATTTAATTAGAGTGATATGAAGAGGTAGCCTATATATATCTGAGAAGTCAAATCGTTGGTGAATGTATTCTCCGAATTGGGGGTACCGATTCGTTTGAAATTGTACCACGGGAATATGGAGACTCTAAAGTATGTCCTAAAACTCACGAAATTTCATTTTTTATCATAAATTTATTTATTTATCATGGAGTAGAACCAACCCTAGTAGNAAGCAATCTTAAAAAATCTGTCGCTTAATATATTTAGCAAAGATTACAAACAAATATTTAGAAAATATTCTATGCTACTAGGGAACGGGGCGTGGTCCGTGAACGTTTCCAATGTTTTACGCTTCCTGGAGGCTTAAAATCGAAAATGGAGGGTTTCAAAATCTAGCTCGAACAACTTAGAAAACCACAGAAATGGAATATTACAGAGTCAGATGGGGAAATATGGAAAATACTTTCACCAACGATTGCAAAAGAATGCTGGCTTGTCTCGGGGTAACAAGTGTTTTTAGAGCAAAAATTTAGTTGCAGCTAAACGTCACAGATGGCGATGTTGGTCCTAAACAGTCGTTAGAATAATGAATTCACGGGATTTCGACAGTTTTACATCGATTACTTCATCATTGCTTTACCGAAATGACATATGGAACGCTTCATATCGTATAATTCTCAACGTAGACGGTAAAAGACTTCAACATAAATATAAATGTCGGAAATGGGACGTGCCATCTTATGTTACCACTTGAGTATTCAAAATGTCGTTACCACCAAAAAGGGTATAGATGAATTTTAATTTATCGATGTTAATTAAATTTCTCAGCGCCTTTCATATCATCTTAAGAATTTCAGAGAAATTCTGTCCTTATTTGACTTTAAGGCCGTGAGTATCGTCACAATTTTCGTGAATATTGCTTCCTTTCTTTGTCCATGTAATTCCTCACCGAGTCACACCGCGAGAGATGAAGTTTCTTAAATGCCTAACTTTCCGCCCTGTCCCGCCAAACTCCGGCATCCGTGAACAGAATTATCAAGCGAAATTCCCGCCAAAATCGCGTAACTTTTCGAAAATAAAAGTCCGATAAACCGGCGCGAAATTCCGCGGATGAATTAATGTTCTCCCGCATTACTACGAGAAAATACTTCGCCAACGAAAAAGGGGTGTAGGATTTAATTTGCGACGAAAAGCCACGAAACGTTAAACGCAACAATAACGTAACTAACGAAGCTATATCTCGCCGAAACGCGAAAAAAAAAAGAATAACCACGGTAAGCGAATAGCGGCTCCAGAGTCTCCATTTCGGACTCGGTGCCAGAAGTCCAGAAACCGGAAGTGCGCCTTACATAAACTCTATTTCGCAAAAGAGCCACAATGGCAAATGTGTAGCTAGAAGGGGGAGAGTACAATGCATGAGGCTCGCAGAGAGGGAAACGGAGGTGAAACAGTGGACTTAACGATGACGCAATTAAAAGAGCGAAAACCCCAGCAAGAGGGAGCGCGACCAGCGCGGCGTCGTTTACCGCCATGTGCCGTCGGCCTAATTTTACGGAAAAATAATGTTGAACCGCAATTTCAAGCCTCGCACGGCCTCTTTTTCACCGCTGCTTTGGCAACGCTCGCGTTGCTTTATCCCCCCTCGACGGAATAATTATTTAGCGCGTCGTGTCGCGCCGGTTAATCGCTTACAGGAACGAGCCATCGTTAGGCGGGCCTTTGAACGTAATTTTGATTCTCTCATTGCGAGGCCGCCCCATTATCTCAGTCAGCCTGCCAATTAAATCTTACATTCCCGCCTTGCCTCCAGATACAATCCGGATGACCAAGTTCCTATTTGCCCATGGAAATAAAGTCCGAAAATAAATTCGAGTGACAACCCGACGCGAGACCCACGTGGGAGGAACCCCACGTGGACGGCCATTGGCGATGAACACTCTGCTGACTTAATAAAATGATAATTAATCGAAAAGTGCGATAAATGTCATTTACCCCACATCTGACAGCCGCAGGATATCGGCTGTTATTATTTTTGAATTTATTAAAGTGATATGAAAGAGTCAGCCTATATACATATCTGAGAGGTCAAATCGTTGTGGAAAGTATTCACCGAATTGGGTATACCAATTCGTTTCAAATTTTACCACGTGAATATGGAGTCTTTAAAGTAGGACATATGGAACCCTTCATTTCCTATATATTTCTGAACGTTGACTGTAAAAGACTTCAACATAAATACAAACGTCGGTAACGTGACGCTCTAGCTTATGTCCCCACTTGAGTATTCAAAATGAATCCACAAAAAAAGGTGTAGATGAATTTAAATGAATTTTAATTTATCGACGTTAATTAAATTTCTCAGCGCTTTTCATATCATTTTAATTGACTATAATGTCTTTAGGGAAACGGGAAAAACGAGGTTATGTAACGTTACAGCTCTAATGGAGGGTGGATAAGTTTAACGATCAGGTGGAAATTTCTGTTATTACAGACGAGGTATGAGCTCAAGATTTATCTTCTACTGAGGAAATTTGTGTGTGAAGACAGTAATTCGTCGATAGCACTAGTTAATCCTAATTAGTAATAATAGTAGCCAGTTTGTTATCGCTCGGTGTGACGAGATATCACGCGGACTACTATTTTCGTTAGTTATTCCCCGGATGGTAGGACTCACTTCCCGGTAACGTATCGCCGTACATTTCCCGTTCGCCGCAGCCTATTTACCGCAATTACCAGGTCGCGTTTGCACAAGCAGCAGTAAATAATGCCTAAAATTGAAGTTGTAAATACGCTCGCGACGGTTTCGCCCCCCGCGCCGGCCTTTCGTACCGTGCCAGCAAGTCCGTGCAAAAAATGGCTCTTCCTCCGGAAATTCGGAAGCAACGAAAAAAGCTACCCGAAATTACCGCAATCGTTAAATTACCATACTTTACCCCACTTTAGTCGGTTGAAGGTGACCGGATCGTCTTGCAAGAAACCACGGCTCCTTCCCTCCACTTTTCGCGACCCCTTTTCCTGCCGCGCCATTTCTTTGTCGTTTCTCGCTCCCTCGTTATTTTTTCTCCCTCCCCCGGAAATTTGTAGGGGATGATAAAACATCATCCGACCCACATTTATCATTGAAGGTACTCGATTTTAGGGGTGAATCACGAAACAAATCGTTCCCCCGTCCTCATCGACAACGCCGCGTTAGCCATTCGTAAGGGATGCGATCCCCTTTAAATCCGTAAACGACACGAAAGTCCCAGAGGACTTCAGGACTCGTTCGATGCGGTTCCTGCAGGATCGAGCACCTCGCGAAAAGATGAGCGAATGGCCGGATAGAGCTGGCGTGATGGAAGGAAATCCTCGGAGGGGTCTTCGTACCCGCAAAGTAAGGACGCTTGTAAACGCGAACATGTCCGCCACTCGAGAGAGAGAAAGAGAGAAATACCGAGAGAAAGAAAGGAAGAAGGGCTTCTTATTTCCATCATCCCCGAGATCGGCAAGGAAGCACCTTCGTCTCTTTCAACGAGAAAGCTTTTCCCTGGAAACCTCTCTTCTGGCCGATATAATTACCGGCCCCACTCCCCTTGCAAGAATAAAATTCAGAAAAATACAAAACACCGCATTTCAATTTGTCCTGCATATCATGACTACTTAGAGCCATTTCTAAAACACTTATTGCATAACATAAATACTGCATCGGTACCCCTAATTCGAAGAATACTGTCGTGACGATGCACACGAGAGTATGCCGAACCACAACTGTTTTAATTTCCGAAAGTAGAGAAGGGTTTTCCGGAGAATGTTTTTGGGGGTAATAAATTTTCTCATGCACATTGCTTCGCCGAGTACTCTTCGCGAAGCAACAAATACTCTCACAAACGATTTGACATCTCAGATATATATATATAGGCTGACTCTTTCATATGCTCTTAATGAGAAGGAGGGACGTGGTGACGAAAACTGAAAGATCTCTAGCGAACTCACCGTACAACCGGATGCTGCCCTCGACCTCCCCCAAAGAGTTCTTGGCGGCGCAGACATAGGAGCCCGTGTCGTGTTTCTGCAGATTGCGGATGGTCAGGATCATCTTGACCTCGAAGTTGGAGCTTGGAACAGCCTGGACGTCGAGGCGAGCGCTAGAAATGATTATGGCCCCTTAAAGAAGAAGAGTTCATGGATTCGTCATTCGGCGGTCGATGGCACCTCTTCGGGGCGAGCGCCTTATCAACGCGAGTAGCTCGCGGGAGCTTATGCAAGTAAATTCGTAATAAAGCGCTCGAAGCCCGTCAATGTCTCGCCTAGAAACGGGAATATATAATCGAAACTCCACTCGAACCCGAGAGAGGCCGGGCACACGCCGGGCTTCCACAGAGAGACCAGCAAACGGCAGATTGACACGGTGGTTGGCTCCGGGGTGCAAAACTGCGCCAACCACCGAAAGAAGCCTCTCTGCCCTCTCTGCTCGGATTTCCCGGAATATTCATCCCCGCGTCGAATTCCCCCGGAATGGGGCGTTAATTCGCGCGATTTTATTCGCCACCGAAACGAGCGATTTGTTTCCACGAAAATTTCCCCCGAAATCCCCAGCGGAGGTGGACGCGCGGCGAATGTGTCGTTTGAAATTAACGTCGGGATAATCGCAACCCGAGCGCGGAATTGCCGGACCGAATTAGCTGCGGGGAATAATTCATTGATACGCGGGGAAGTCTCCGCTTCTTAAGTTAAGATTGAATGAGCGCTGCAGGGTCAGTTCTCAAGCTGGAAGATTTGCAAAATGTGCGAGGTAAAGCACGTAAAATAAATTAACTAATGCCTTTGGAAATGAAACTCGGAATGTCTAGGAATATTTGTCAAATTAATACGAAATTACGTTCCACCGTGGGGCAAATGCCTGAGGAAGATTCCGTAAAAGTATGCTTCAAGAGAGGAAATCTTCGATTATCTGAAGCTGGACTAACGATTCCTGAATGATTTTGCTGCGTGACGAGAATACGAAATCAAATACCGAGGTCGTACCTGTCGACTGGTTGGAAAAATGAGATATCACAGATTCCGGAAAGTAGAAATCCGCATTCTTCCCCCGCAATCTCGATGCCTCGCGGATCCGATTTCCGGTGCGGCCCTTAAAACTTTGTTTCGAAGACTTAACGCGAGTCGGATTCGCGCCACCGCAAGCCCGGCTGTTTAGAGTCTTGAGTTAAAGTGTCGGCCGAAGTTTCTTGGAGGCGATATCGCCGATAACAAATGTCGTTGCATACATTCGCCCGGTCGGTGAACGGGTGGAAGATCGGACCCCAAATGCGAGTCCCATCGGAAGGAAGAAGGAGGATACCGAGGATAGTTCGGGCAACTTGTAGCCTCGCGGAAACCGAGGACCACCGCGTGCAGACGTTAACCGCGACATAACTAGTGATAACGTCGATAAGGGCGCTCGAGAACCCCTTTTTCGCGGGCGGAAGTGGTGCTCGTTATGATCCCCACTTTGTCGCCCCTAGGAGCATCCTCACCGTTATCCTTGACCCAATAATTGATCGACATCGGGAACGCCTCCACGTAGCACACCAGCATCACGTCCGTGCCCAACGGAGCGCTGACCAGTTGATTCGGCACGTGGATCACCGGGGGAACTGCAATTTCGAAATTCCATCCCAAAACCTCTACAGAGACTCGCTTCTTCGGGAAAAACGCGCGGAAAATCGCTGCACGGATCTGCAGTTTCCCCCAAAGGTTGTCACTAGATTAACCGAGGACCGAAGCGAAGAATCGTGATAACGACGTTAGTCCAACATAATCTATGCAGTAACATGGATTTCAACCAAATCTCATGGGAATGAAAATGAATTTTTTACTCCGAAATGAAAATTAAGGGGATGTGAAAGTGGCACCCGAGGGGTCAATCAAGGGTTCGTGAAACTTTTCTCCGAACTGGGTGCACCGAATGGTTTCAAACTTTTCAACGTAACTATGGAGGCTATAAGGAAGGTCCTGAAACCCATAAAATTTCATTTTTTATACAACATTTTGAAAATACCTATTTACAAATTTTTAAAAAATTGAAATTTCATGGGTGTCAGGACTTCCCTTATATGCGCATTCTTTCTAGTTCTGACTCCGAGGATGAGAGGACGAGCATTCCAATCATTTCCGTGATAATTTTTAAAAAAGGACTTTTTACTTATTAATAATTTATTTAAACGTAAAGCCTAGTGTCGTTTAATACAGACTTAATTTGAATAAATCGATTTTTTAAAGAAAATGCGTGTTTTCGTTTACCCATCAATTTGACGGGTGCTCGTAGAAACAGGTATATGAAAAAACGCCCGTAAACCTAGTGTTAAATGGGATACCCTGTATATTAAAATGCATGAGCTCGGTCTTTTGATCTTTGGAACGATTGCTTTGAATGTTACTAGTGCGCGGTGGATATTTTGGGGGATCGGGTTCGATAAAGTACTCACAGTGCACGCTGACTATGATGCGCTTACTGATAGCAGGTGGGACTCCGTTGCTGGCAATGCACAAGTACGCTCCCATGTCGGTCCTCGAAATCCTCGACAATCTCAAGACCTCCCCTTGAAATTCCTGCATGGATGACACTGCAAGTATCGTTGCCGAGAGTGTAGAGACACGCGTCAAAGAGGATGCATTCCCTAGGGTTAGAGCCCCGGGAGACATTTTCCCCGTGGGGGTCCCTTCGAATATCGCGTCCCCCCGTTCGATATTTTCGACCCTCGATCGACGACGCGCCAATCCCGGTGATCATGCACCCCTTCGTCGCTACGTCCACCAAGATCGCTCCACGACCCCAACATTGCCCCAACAAGTAACCTAAACGAAAATCACTTCACAGGAAATCTTGAGAAAATTCGAAATAATTTGCTTCCACCCTCTCCACCCTCCATTAACCCTTTCGTTACGAGCGCCGACTATAATCGGCACACATGCGAAGATCTTTGGGTACGGGTACCGACTTTAGACGGTAAGAAATTCCGCCATATCTGTAGAATATCTTTTGATTGTATTGACCCATATTCGATGAATCATCCTGAATGTACATTTTGAATAATATTAATATGCGCCAAAAACCCCGGCACTGTAGGTTTGATAGTTTTCGCAAAATTAATTCCTAAATATTACTTAAAAAATAAGCTTCTAGACGGTAATACCCCCTTAACCCTTAGAAAAGTGTACACACAAAAGGATGTCGAGGAGGCATTGTTCAGGTGGAAGACGTAAGTTCGAACACCGAAGACTGTCTTCAAGCAATGTGCACCCTTTCGGCGCGGTGTCGCGTTAAGTGGTGGTTGTCGTAATGAAAGTGGTGGACTACCGTAATGAAAGGGTTAAGAAGAGCATAAGAGGGGACGCTGCCCCATCTTCTGGAACGACTATACCTATGGTGCATGCTCTGCATTTGGGGTACATGATTTCATTAGCCAGGCGTCAAAGTGCCCATTGAAGATTAAATGTAACCCCCTTTTCGGGAGTCGATCGTACCGAAATTAAGGCCAATTATCCCCCCAAGATGCCTTTGATCGTACTTTCGCTTTGGGTGGGACCATCTCGGCGAAATCTCGGGGACAGAAGTGCCCCCTCGCGAAAGGTGTCTCCGGTGGAAACGAGACCCTGGGAGCATTTCCCACAGCTCGTTCCACGTTCGCCATCGGAAGGGAAACCGCTGTGGGTTCCATATTAATTCGCGGGGTCTGAGTCGCGAGTGTATATATGTATGTATATGTACGTGAATATATATGTACAACTGGCTGGGGCATCGAACGCATTTTCTCGACTCACCGTGTGTTTTCTGACTCGCTACGCTTCCTCCGTACGCCTCGCGAATCACAATGTCCTTGTTATCCTCTCTGCGCCAGGTGACGCGCGGCATGGGCACGCCTCTGGCCCTACATGTCAGCTTCGTCTTAAACGGCCAAAAATGCATCATTTTTCAAGGTTTTATCGACAAACGTGCGAAAGTTTAATGCTACGACCGACCGCGCAGGCCTCTAAACGATCGAGACGGATCGCTGCAAACTTGTGACCACGATTTCTTTTCTGAGATTTCTCTTGGGGCCTCGTTGGGTCAAACAATATCCGTACTAAGATATTTCAGAATTACGGATGTGGGAAACGGAGCAGAATTAATAATTATCTAATCATTCCCAAGGGACTATCGAAGCGACAAGATCTCGCGCTGCTCGTCGCCTCGAAGAAAAATACGATACCACTTGTAAAGAGGAGTGTCTGGAATTTTCTCTCGGCATATTTTACCACCTTTACTTGTATTCGATGATTCCGAGGAAGAGCATATGCAAACTGATCGACATATAATTTTTTTTTCCAAAAAACAGGTGCAAGTCTGACCCTACAATAGGTTAGACTACTTGTCGCGCGGGCCAGGTGAAATTGTACCGAACAGATTTCTGAAGACTTAAAATCAGGACTTCATTTTTAAATTTCTGAAAAATCCTGGGTAGGTACTTTTTAATATTCTCTCGTTATTCCGTCTAGCAGTTAAGCGGACCATTCAACGTGCCGTCGTAGTACCTCAATTTGTACGTCCCGTCTACAGGGACATTTCCAAAGGACTCCACCCGAATACGACTTCGCGAGACGCGCCAATCAAACAGCACAATTAGGCAGGCTTTTCGCGAGAGCATTTCGCGGAACGGTACTCCAGATTGAAGAATCTCATTTAAACAAACGCTACAAATAAGCTCGCCGGCAAACGAACGTTAATCGAGTCAGTGGGGCCCTGCCTCCTTGTTTCCAAACGTTCGCCGTCAAGCTCGAGCTAAACGGTTTATGCGCCTTCCCGGGCGAGTTCATTCGGTCCCGGTGTCGACCTTGTAAAGTCGAGTTTACAGCTACCGACTAACCAAGCCGACGAAGCCGAAGCACGACGCGAATTAAGTATACCGAACTCGTAGGAACCGAATCGTCGTATACGGCAAAGTCGACCCAAATTGGCTGAAAAACTCCTGAACACTGTTTGGAAACCCAATTCCCAAGATTTCCCCTGATTGATGTATTTAAGCTCGTGTAATCGCACCTTTTACCTGAGAAAAAAGGACGTCACCTATTGACAGAAGCTTCTTCATCAGCAGAAACAGCGATATCTTCCTTAAAAGTAAACGTCCCTTTTTAAGAAAAATATGGCTACTTCGCGAAAATTAATATCCACTCGGTAGGAAATATAAAAGGTTCTATCTTATGGCTATTTCCCTATTTCGATAACGTTACAATGTAAATAGTCATTTTCTGTCCGGCACTCGAATTTTACGTTACATCGTGTGGTTAGACAGCATGGCAAAAAATAATTGGGTTATAGAGGGTTAACGTATTCAATTATAAGAAATAAATCCTGAATATGACTAGTTACGCATACGGAGCGACAGGTTGTACAGTGGAGTCTGACTCGGAGCGCGGCGTCTTATTTCCGAGACAGTAAGAGGCTCGAGAAGCATCCTTACGTGCACAGAAGATGCTTCCGAAAGGACAGAGAATTGATGAAGAGTCAGAGGTGCGGATAAATGGCACGGCCGATAGCCGTGCCCGTAACAATCGAACGTCTCCTCGGGCAAGGAGTCGGCAGGATGCTGGGCCGGGGTCCGTCACCTCGCCAAGCATCGACTCCCTGACCCCAATATACTCCATTGTACACCCCGTAACCAAAGGAACCCTGAAACCTCCACTGAGAACGGCACTATCGGGAGCAATCATCTCACCTGCCCTCCTTCGTTTATCATTACGTCGCCGGAGGTCTCCTCGGCCACGAAGTCGGGCGGCACCTCGATCGAGAGCATGCCGGTCTGGAAAAGAACAGAACCGCGATTTCACCACGAATTGTCCAACGCTGAGTAAAAGACAAATTTACAACGCACGATTCGCAAAAAAGATACCTGCACTTCACTTGTACCTCGGCATCATTTTGGAGGCCACAAGAACTGCACTTGGTCTGGTACCTTTCTGCCAAAACTTGATTTGCCCTAGTTGCAGACATTAAGCTGATACGAAACTGCCATCCGAGGGCTCAGTTGTTCGTAAAACTTTTCGCTGAACTGGATATACCGAATCGTTTCAAGCTTTACAACGTGAATATGGAGGCTAGAAGGAAAGTTCTGGCATCCATAAAATTTCATTCTTTATAAAATGTTTTGAAAACATCTGTAAACAAGTTTAAAAAGAATTGAAATTTCATGGGTGTCAAAACCTTATAGCTTTTATATTCACCTTGTGAAGTTTGAAACAATTCGGTACACCCAGTTCGAGAGGAACTTTCATAAATGAAACTTCTTGGACAACACTTTCTTGTCATCTTAAGAATTGGTAGAATAAATTATTGAAATTAAATATGTCATTCAGATTTTCAACAAATATTCCAGATATCTTCGAATGAGATCTACAAGAAATCTGAAAAAATCTGTCACTTGAGATATTTAGCAAAGATTACAAAGAAAAATGTATAAATTATTCTATACTACTAGGCAGCTTCGTTATTACTGAAATCTCCTCATGGCTTTATTTTTGACATGTGGATCTCCACTTGTTAAAGTCTCACGAGGGGTCCTACAACTCAACGTCGTTTAATATAAAGCTGCCTAGCAATTACTGCGGCGTTAACCCTTAAAGCGGATTTCTAGAGTGAGTGAAAACTTCAATAATTGCACCCGAGTTGTCTCTCGCATGCCGGCTGCGCGTTGAATCTCGAACGAACAACCGCGGAACTGCTCATGACTTGTACACGCGTACTTCATTAGTATTGTATGCACTCCAGAGGATGCGAGGGTGAGATCGCGGGGGGCAAAAGGGAACAGGGAAAGTGGGAGAGGGGGAACGGCGAAATTGTTTGTTGCGCCTTGGAAACAAGAAGCGTAATTCCATCTGCAAGTACAATTCCGGTATCGATGCTCGGTAACTACATGAAACTGATAACAATGCATTTCTAACTATCAGACGTCGTTAACAAAAAATTAGAATAAATTACTACTACCCCACTCTCTTAATGGAACATGATGACTTCTCATCTAAATCATTTTTAAATAGATCATTCACGTTTTATTCCAACTTTATGGAGAAAACGACGACAAATTAAGAAGGGGTTAAATCGAGGAAGCACAGTTGCGACGCCACAAAAAAAAGACAGGGGATTCTAGAGAGGGCAAGCGAGGGTGAGGAGCGATGAAAGGGTGGCGTTGACTTTTAACCACCCCGAAAGTCATAGACTGAGAACGAGGCAAGGTTTCCCTCCCGATTGACTGGAAGCATTCGAACGGCAGCCGAGGTAGTGCCCCTTGGTGCATTCATTACTTAGTGCCCCATAGGTTCCTCGGAAAAGCTCCTCGGGCTGGCACAAGGTACGGAGACCTGCTCTATTTAAGATTGCGCAATACCTTTGGAAAATTTTCCCTACGAGGTAAGACCACGGTGGGAGGCACGAAATGGCGAAAAAAATCGACGAAACCGACGGAAGACTCGCCGCTGCGGTTAGTTTCAAGATAGGCCGGCTACCCTATCAATGTATGGGAATCTTAAGAACGGCTACTTATTTGTTGATTAAAACCGCATTATCAAAAGCTAAACGAGCCGCAAATCCTATCAATGCATGGGAGTCTCAAGGACGGCTACTTATTTGTTGTTTAAAACCACATTATCAAAAGCTGAGCGAGCCGCAAACAGGAATCGCATTGCTCCGCTATCTGGACGAAATAAAGAAACGAACAAGCGGATGAAATTCAGAACGTGTAAAATCGCTGAAGTATTAAATATTGTTAGGTGTTTATAGTAAAAATAATCCAACATAGCGCAAATAAATTCTTACGCCCGAAGGTAATCCCAACCCCGATGTAATCCGATAAAGCACTCCAATGTAAAATCCTAAGCTAATATTCTTCGACATATGCACCTTCCCTAGTAGCGTAGAATAATTTCTAAATATTTCTTTGTAATCTTTGCTAAGTATCTCAAGCGACAGATTTTTTAAGATTTCTTGTAGGCTTCATTCGAAGATATTTGAAATATTTGTTAAAAATCTCAATGAAATAATTAGTTTCAAGAATTTATAAACATATATAGAAATCATATTTAATATTTGTTAAAAATCTCAATGACATATTTAGTTTCAAGAATTTGTAAACATATATAGAAATCATATTTTTTAACCTATGAACATATCAAAAATACATTTTTTTACTTCACGACTATTATCGGATACTTCATTTGTTATAAAAAAACACGAGACATTTTTGTAATATTTTCGTTCCGCTATTTCATTATGGGAGCAAAACGTGTAATTTTGATCCTAAATGTTTTTAAAACGGTTATAACGTATTCGGAAGATAATATTTAAAAAATACTTGTATTAAAATGAAACGAAATGTTTTGTATATCTGGTAGAAAAATATTATGAAAACACATGGAGCTAATATTATATAAATATTATAGAGATAATATTCTAAGGTAAACGTTTTGCAAATATTTCAAATGTCTGGTAAATATTTACAAAATGTACGATATTCGTTAAACATATAGAAAATATAGGACAAATATTTGGTGCTACTAGGGTTGAGTCGTACTTAACAACCAATTATGGATTTGACAGGGATGACCAACCGCTCGATTAATGTTAGAAACGAAATCCGTGAAAATGCCGAGTTTCCGACCGCAGCAAAAGAGAAAAATAAGTACGACGGCTGTTCCAGGGTGAAAAATCTCACTTGCACCTCGGCACCCTGGGCAACGCCTCATGGAACCGCAAACGGTGCCCAGGATCCGCACTTGGGGGAAAGTGCGAGTCGGGCCGCACTGTCAGCAATCGCGGATCGAATAATTGGCTCCTCGCCACGTCCAATTGGTCGCCGAAACTCCGTGCGCGCGATCACACCTGGGGGGTTCCTCCGTGCCCGACTTAGTCGATAACCAGGACCCGAATCGAACTCGGCTAATAGGGACTCCTCGATACCAGCAACAGCGGGTTCGGCGGGGCAGATTTGCAAAAAAGGGGGAAAAAAAAAAAGCAGTCGGGGATTTTGCGCCCCACGTTCAGCCGGCAGGAGTCCGCGAGTTACCCGGAAGTCCGAGCTGATCCGGTCGCGACGTCGGCGACCTCGCAATTGCAGATCGTATAATTGGCTCTCGCCGGCTCGCACTTTATCGATCCGGACACTCGACAGTACCATTTCCAATTAGTTATTTCGCCGAGTTCGTCGGCTTACCGCGGTTTCCTCTGGCCCCGGTTGGATCGGTAGCCGGGATCTGGGAGCCGGGGCAGCCGCTGGGCTTCGTTACTGAAAACGCTCAAAATAGTAAATGGGCGTCAGGTGAGCACCTGCGCCTAACAGGGGAGCACAGGTCACACTTTGCACCCCAATCTCGAATCTTGAATCTCGCCCACCAGGAGACGCGGGAAAACCAAATTGACTCTTTTGTTGGCGCTAACTAGATTCCCTTTGCCTATTAATTTGTGACCCTCAAAGTGGATCTTTGTTCCCCGTGGAAGACGGCCTGGCGAAAGAAGCCTGGGAAACCCTCGACATTTCTGTCGTCTTAAGTTGATACGACTCTTTCAAGGGAACCTCTCCAGAGGTTATCCCAAAGGAGGAACCGAGCCTTCCGATGTCTTGCGACTCGCGTGGATGGAGTTAAGATGTTACGGAAGGCGATGAGAAATGGAATCGAGGTCGATTAATTCAAATTCATCTATACCCTTTTTGGTGGTAACGCCATTTTCAATACTCAAGTAGGAACATAAGTTGGCGCGTCACGTACCGACATTTATATTGATCTTGAAGTCTTTTATAGTCTACGTTGAGAGTTACAAGAATTGAAGCGGTCCATATGTCATTTCGGAAAAGTAATGATGAAGAAACTTCCGAAATCCCGCGAAATCATTATTCTAACGACTGTTTAGGACCAACGGCGCCATCTGTGACGTTTTGCTGCAACTAAATGTTTGCTCTAGAATCACGAGTTAGCTCCGAGACAAGCCAGCATTCTTTTGCAATCGTTGATGGAAGTATTTTCCATATTTTCCCATCTGACTCTATAATATTCTATTTCTTTGGTATTCTAAATTGTTTGAGCTAGGTCCTGAAACTCTTCATTTTCGATTCTAAGCCTGTAAGAAGCGTAAAACATCGAAAATGTGCACGGACCACGCCATGTTGGATCCAGTCCATGATGAGTAAATCAATTTTTTATGAAAAATAAAATTTTATGAGTTTCAGGACCTACTTTAGAGTCTCCGTATTCCCGTGGTAAAATTGGAAACGAATCGGTACACCCAATTCGGAGAATACTTTCCCCAACGATTTGACTTTTCAGGTATATATATGCTGACTTTTTCATATCACCTTAAGACGCGCATAAATACTCCTTTCGCGATTTTATCAAACCTTCAATATAATCGAGAATCGGAAAAAATTCGTTGGCTTGCTCAGTTCTTTTGGAAAGTGTTAGGCACAAAAAAGCACCGAAAAGAGGAACCTTTGGTGCGATATTGATGAATTTAATTCACGTTCCAAATATGCGGAAGGCTCTTATTAATTCCTTGGTCGGAAAGGGCTAATTTTGCATCAGGTTCAAAAAAGTCAAAAATGTTTACTCGCAGAAAGTTCCTGATGACGCGATACGATTTGATTTTTATAATCTAATCGACCAAAAAAGTACCTCTTTGACCAAACAAACCTATCCCATTCACCGGTGACATAGTAACGATTTATTACATCCAAATAACATTTATTCGATACCGGGAAATCCTTTTGGCCAAAATATATTTTATTGCTCCGTAATAAATTGCATCACTGACCACCGTCAAAGGGATTGATTCGCACCGATGAAGAGAATCATTTTTCAGGGTGATATTGAAATCACGTAGCCTTCCCGGCATTGCGGGCAGAATTTTTTCAGTTAACTTAATTGGAACATTTTTTGCCACGTACATCTTTTTACTGTTTTTTTCCTAAAAGAATTCCAGACTATGCGAGTGTATCGGACACGGTAATAATTCCATTTTCTTATCGTAATAAAAATCAAGGACTTGGAAATTCGCCCAGAACCGGAATTCGTTTAAGTGAGCATTAGGGTCTTTATCGAAAAGTTTTTTCCCTGCAGGACGTCGAGTGTGAGAGGGGCGAGGGTCCTGTAAAAATTCGCTTAAATCACAGTCGGAAATCCCGGCCCTTTTCCCTCGTAAATAAACTTGGACCTTTCTCCCCCAGTACATTTTCCCGTCACGTTACTTACGGCTGAAAATAAAAGGACCGCACGAAAACGGATCCTATTTGGCTCGACCGAAGTCGTCTTAAGGTGATATGAAAGGCGCTGAGAAATTGAATCGACGTCGATAAATTAAAATCCATACCACCCTTTTTGGTGGTAACGTCATTGTGAATACTGAAGTGGGAACATAAGCTGGCGCGTCTCGTTACCGACATTTATATTTATGTTGAAGTTCTATACAGTCTATGTTGAGAGTTATCCGAACTGAAGCGTTCCATATGTCATTTCAGTAAAGTAATGCTGAAGAGATTGATGTAAAACTGTCCATATCCCGCGAATTCGTTATTCTAACGACTGTTTAGAACCAACGTCTGTGATGTTTAGCTGCAACTAAATGTTTGCTCTAAAGACACGTGTTAGCCTCGAGACAAGCCTTTTCTCTTGCAATCGTTGGTGAAAGTATTTTCCATATTTTCCCATCTGACTCTATAATATTCTATTTCTTCGGTATTCTAAATTGCTCGAGCTAGGCCCTGCAACCCTTCATTTTCGATTCTAGAACTCGAAGAAGCGTAAGACATCGACATCATACACGGACCACGCCATGCTGGTTCTAGTGCATGATAAACGAACAAATTTTTCATGAAGAATGAAATTTCACGAGTTTCAGGACCTACTTTATGGCCTCCAGATTTCCGTGGTAGAATTTGAAACGAATCGATACCCCCAATTCGGAGAATACTTTCCCCAACGATTTGACTTCTCATATACATATATAGGCTCACTCTTTCATATCACCTTAAGTGGGTGTGAAAGTGGCATCCGAAAGCTCAATCGTTCATAAAACTTTTCTACGAACTGGGTGTCTCAAATCGTTTCATACTTTACAACGTGAATATGGATACCCTAAGGTAGATCCTGAAACTCACGAAATTTCATTTTTATAAGCTATTTTGAAAATACCTATAAACATATTTGAAAAGAATTGAAATTTCCTGAGTTTCAGGAAATTTTCTCCCCATTCACGTAGTAAAGTTTCAAACTATTCGGTAAATCGAGGTGGGAGAAAAGTTTTATAAACAGAACCTCTTTGACGCCACTTTCACATCACCTTAATACCCGGAACGCAAAAGCGAAAACGTCACATCTAGTTTGCGCTGAAATTTATTAAATTAACCAGAACGTATTTGTGAATGTTTTCAATGAAAACCAATTAACCTCGTTCTCCCCTACTAAAGAAAGGGGAAGTTCATATTTAACGTAACTTTATGAAAAGAAATAATATTATTAGCCATCTTTTGAAGAAGAGGTAATCAATGAAGGAATGCCTTTATCGCCGAATCGATGAATTCATCGAAGCCATGACTACGATCTAGGGGCAGAAAGGTACCAGTCCGAGCCAATTCATTCGCCTGTTATTACCTGGGGAAATATTTGACTCTCAGATGCAATCGGTTATCGTGCAAGATTAACGATCAGCGCCTCGCTTTTCGCTCGACTTTCCGCCAGAAATCAACGGCATATTCAAGGGGCTGTATAATTAATACAGGAAAGCTCCTCGCTGGCCACTCGAGCGAGCTTCGAGGCGTCCGACTTCTCGAACCTCGAGTCGAGGTACTTTGACAAGCGGGGAATGATCGACGGCCGATAATTTTATTTCCCAAAAGGTACACCTCTCGATATTCCATGAAATTCCTAAGAAATTCTATTTGACATTCCCTTTCAGAGATGAGCACGCGAGTGACTGGAGCTCCAAACAACTTTCGCAATATAGCCCAACCTAATCGGACGAACTGTTAAGTTTAACCCTTACACGAAAATTGGGTAATTTTTGTCCAGTCATCATGCACATTTTTACATAAAATACAAATATTTCTCTTCAAGAAAGAAATTTAGTTTAACCCTAAAGAAAGAAGTTAAGTTTAACCCTTACACGAAAATTGGGTAATTTTTATCCAAAGTCATCATGCACATTTTTACATAAAATACAAATATTTCTTTTCAAGAAAGAAATTCCCCAGTTTTTATTTACGACTATTATTAATCTATTTAATTATTAAACTACCCGCGTGAGGGTATGGAAAAGTGCCAGGCTGCAAATATAAAGTGCAGATTTCTGCCATGGGTTTGGATAAACATCACTCATTTTCTGTTTAAGGTGAAGTGAAACACGTCGAGAAACATGACCGATGTCGGTAAAAAGATTTTTCTATATACCTACGTTGCCGACGTTCATTTTTATATTGACAGCTGTGTCGAATTATATTGGGTATTGTACTAAATGGCATACTCCACCTGTCGTTTTCGTAGAATAATTAAAAGGAAGTCGAAGTAAAACTCCAGAAATCCTCTGGATTCGTGATTTTCGAGGCCCTAATTGACTGCGGAGTGACCCCCCGCGCCATCCGTGATTTCCGTGTCAACTAAATTTTCACTTCGAGACCTCTTATTCCCATCGTTTTAGCATAGCAGCGCATAAGACACTTTTTTCCTCTTTATCTCGTTCTAATACGAGTTTCTCGATTACCAGAGTGTTCTAAATTGTCGTACAACTACCTTCATCCTTTCGTTTCTAATATTAGAGCCTTCAATAATTTTCTACCGATCGAAATATGATATATTTACGCCATTTTGGTTCTGATCTGAGCTAAGTTAAACAATTATTTTCAAATATCCAAATTTTTAAAGTGTCAGGATAATTCCTAGGTGCTCACGAGTTATGTGTCAAAGTTTCAGACGGTTAGTTCCAATACCCTTAAAAACCTGTCTCATTCCAATTGACTGATTTGAGGAGGGTTTCACTTCACCTTAAGGAGTAACTGATAATGATAACTGACACAAACGAGCCGCGGGAATGTACCTGTATTTTATCGTAAAAATACTGCATCGGGTCTTATCCTAAAATAAGAGATAAATGTATGGACAGCATATTAGCAAATGTCGAATTGGAATATCACCTGGCTCTTCATAGGATCCGTGTTGATTTGACACATGTAAAGTCCGGCGTCATCTAGCTGCACACCTTTGATGTGTAGATTCCACATTGAATGGTCACCTCTTGAAACGGACACCCGTGGATTGTGCGTAATGACACGGTCGTGGATTGCTTGAATCGCCTTGTTGTCAGTTTTTACCCACCCGACCTGAAAACCATTATCAATGGATTCGATATCGATTGCTTTTCTTCCTCCTTTGGAAGATGCATGAAAGTATGTCATTTGCAATATTATGCAATATCTATTGAGCTCGTTCCTCGTAACACGTGTACCGGCAGACAAGAATGGCTTCCCTTCATTGAAGACAGACATTCATGTCTGCTGGAGTGTTCTTAACCGCATAAATAGCAACAATAGTGGGACCCAGTGCGTCATCAATAGGTTTGTTCGCGTTGACTGCACTTTCCACCCTCGATGGTAACGAGGGTACTACACTTTTCTTGAAAAGGGCAAAAGGGTAGATACACATTCGTCGACGTCCCGAACGCCAGAAACCTCACGAAAGTCCAAGATGACCGATTTAGTAGAGAGGTACGCGATTTTAAGGTTAATTGTTCCTTGGCTTCGCCTTCACCCTACAGATCACTTTTTTCTTTTGAACCTGTTGTTCACCTGCAGTCATAACGGAACTTATGATCGATTGTCTAAGAAAAGACTTCCGCGTCCACGCCGATGTGTAGCAAGCAACTTTGCGCGTCCAGTCTCCCCGGATTGGGCAGCGAGAGGAGGCCCCGCCCCTTTCCCAAGGAGACCCAGTGGCGCAGGCACAGGGATGCAAATAACCGAGCTCTGTTAAGCGCAATCTAGTTCAGCAGAACGCGGGCCACGGGATGCAATTTCCCGACGTGCACTCGACGCGATACCACTCGACCATCCCGGATTTGAAACCTCGGCAACTTCGGCGCTCGCAGGACCAATGGACGAGGAAGGATTGCCGCGTCACTTGGGTGAACTTCGGGGCGCCATTTGCATTTTCCGGAAGGAATATCGCGGCGCCCCTCCGATCGCGGGACTCCGCATGCGGTTACGGCGAGCGTCGCGACGCCGCTCGGAGACAATGGGAGGACTGATACTCCGTGGCCCCGCCATGTCTTGACATTATCTTACCGAGGCTCCGTCGCGACGTAGTTTGTCTTTTTGGAAAAACCCCGCTGGGGGCGAGTAAAACCCTCTTGCACCATCTCCCTGATGATCCTTGCTATCTGTGGCGGCAGAGATTTATTCCGCGGGAGCCATCGCGACGTTTTCGCGCCGATACTAATGCCGCTATTCGAAATCGATTCCTCGAGCAAAAAGGAGTACTTTCGACGATATCTTCTGAGATATCGGACCCTTAACGACTCATCGAAAATACGCGAACATCCGTAAGATGATATGAAAGGCGCTGAGAAATTTAATCGAGGTTGATTAATTAAAATTCATCTCTGCCTTTTGTGGTGATAATGCCCTTTTGAATACTGAAGTGGGAACGTAAGATGGCGCGTCACGTTAGCGGCATTTATATTTATATTTAAGTCTTTTACCGTCTACATTGAGAATTATGCGAACTGGTGCGTTCCATATGTCATTTCGGTAAAGCAATGATGAAGAGATCGATGTAAAACTGACAAAATCCCGGGAATTCCATTATTCTAACGACTGTTTAGGACCAACGTCGCCATCTGTGGCGTTTAGCTGAAAATAAATTTTTGCTGTATAAACACGTGTTAAACTCGAGACAAGCCAGCATTCTCTTACAATCGTTGGTGAAAATCTTTTCCATATTTTCCCATCTGACTCTGTAATATTCCATTTCTACGGTATTCTAAATCGTTCGAGCTACGTCCTGACAATCTTCATTTTCGATTCTAAGCCTTCGAAAAGCGTAGAAGATCGAACGTGCCAGGATCACGCCATGTTGGTTCTACTCCATGATAAATAAATTCATTCTTTATGAGATATGAAATTTCCTGAGTTTCAGAACCTACTTTAGGGCCTCCATCCCTAGTAGCACAAAATATTTGTCCTATATTTTCTATATACTTAATGAATATCGTACATTTTGTAAATATTTAGCAGACATTTGAAATATTTACGAAACGTTTACTTTAGAATATTATCTCCATAATATTTACATAATATTACCTCCATGTGTTTTCATAATATTTTTCTACCAGATATACAAAACATTTCGTTTCATTTTAATACAAGTATTTTTTTTAATATTATCTGCCGAATATATTATAAATGTTTTAAAAATATTTAAAATCAAAATCACACGTTTCGCTCCCATAATGGAATAGCGGAACGAAAATATTACAAAAATAAAAGAAGTAAATAAGTGAAGTGAAAAAATCTATTTTTATTATATGTTCATAAATTAAAAAATATAATCTCTGTATATGTTTATAAATTATTGAAACTAAATATGTCACTGAGATTTTCAACAAATATTTCAGATATCTTCGACTGAAATCTACAAAAAATCTTGAAAAATCTGTCGCTTGAGATATTTACCAAAGATTACAAAGAAATATTTATAAATTATTCTATGCTACTAGGGATATTCCCGTGGTAAAATTTGAAACGAATCCGTATACCCAGTTCGGAGAATACTTTCCCCAACGATTTGACTTTTCGGATATCTAATGGCTGACTCTTTCATATCATCTTAACTGCTCTTTGAAGAGAAACTGAACACAGCTTTCCGAATATTCCGAATGCAAGAAACCATCCGATAATGAATGGTTACAATAGCGTATGATAACGGATGATTATCAGAAGTCATGCAGTTTACATTATTTTGCGGCAGGGCAGTATTCGCCTTGCCTATGATAACTAGGAAGAAAGAGAAATTAACGACGACTGAATTAATGTGAGAGGATCGAAGCAAATAATTGCACGTGCAACCCTACATGTGTATAGTTTACGGTAACAATGGCCAGAAACACGCGGGTAATTTTTATACGTGTTTTCCCTTTATCACTGTTACTCTCTACCGTTGCGCAAGTTTAACGATGGGAAAGAGCTACAAACCGTCTACCATGATCCGACAATTACCGGTACATCGGCAAAGGCAGAATCGACACCGAATTGTAATTGAGTCCGTACCGATTGCCGTTGCGGAACTTTTACACGAGAGAGAATCCTGCCGAATCCAGGAACATTTTTCACATTGTTTATTCCACATGGGAACAGGAAACATAAAAAAAAGCGGCCGTGAATTTTTCCACCGTTGACGCGACTCTTAAGGGCGCACACCACCCCAGCGATTTTGCAGGGCCTCACGAGGACAACGATTCTGAACGTATTTCTAAACCGATCGAGCTTAACGAGTGCTCATATCGAAGATGAAATGTTGACCTGTGTTTGTATGGGAGCGATTTTCGATAAGTGGTCATTTTCATATAAAAAAATGCAACGACATAATTTCAATGCCCTTTTACCTAGGAAGGAGGTGCTCGATTGAAAATCGCTTCCATATAAACACACGTCAACATTTTATCTTTAAAACGAGCACTCGTTGAGCTCGATCGGTTGAGAAATACGCTCAAAATCGTTGTCCCCGTGGAGCACCTTTTTCAGGATTTTCGAGTATCTCGCGAGGAATTTGGGCATTCCTTAACCCTTTCGTTACCTTGGACGAGATATCTCACGACCCAATACTGGCCGATTAACGCTTTTGACAAGATATCTCGCGATCCAGTAGTAGCGGATTAACGCTTTTGACGATAATCTAGCTTTCTAGCACCAATATTTTGACATTCTGCGCCATCTGTGATTTCCAGGTCAATTAAATCTTCACTCCGAGACCTCGTATTCCCATCGTTTTGGTATACAAGAGCATACAACACTTTTTTTGCCTTTATCCCGTTCAAATGCGAGTTTATCGATTAACAGGGACTCTTGACTCTTGACTCTTTCGATTCTCATATCAGAGCCTTCGATAATTGTATATTGATCGAAATATGAGAGCTCGACGCCATTTTGGTTCTGGCCTGGGCTGAGTTAAACAATTTTTTTTGAAAAATCCAAATTTTGAACGTGTTAGGATAATTCTTAGATGATCAGGAGTGATGTGTCAAAGTTTCGGACAGTTTGGTCTAATACCCTTAAAAAAAGTGTTGTATTCGAATCGACGTTGATTCTACGAGACGCATCCTCGCGGATCGGAATGACAACGCGGTAACCATTTGCTTTGATCACGTGAAACTACCGTCAGAAGTGACGGCGTCCGGATTCTCGTAGCAAAAAATGCACGTAGATGTGCGCACTTGGATAAAATCTAGTCAAGCGGGACGATCATTAAAAATGTCATCGGAGCCCGGGATCGATCGCGTTTTATCCGCCGCGGCGAATGGGGCGATCGAAGAATGGTACAGAGATGAAAAGGACCGTTGTACGGATGCTGTAATATTCCGCAAATAGGACCTCAGCCGGAGGGGAGTAATTGAATTTTACTGGTCATCGTCGCATTGACGTCGGCCCAGAGCTAGAAACCCTCGAAGAGCGAGTTTGAATGGCTCTTGCGTGATCCGAACTCCGGCCTCGGTACATGCCATTCTGCGTAATACATGTAATATGTATGACCCGTCGACACACGGGAGCGGCAATAACTCCTAAACAAAAGTCCGAAAGAGCACGGCGGACTCACGGGGTAAACGAATAAAACCACCTAATCCAAGTCTCCGAAACGTCGAGAACCCCCAACGTCACTCGGGATGCGGTCCAATTATCCTGATTGCCGCCGCTTGATATTAAATCTAATTTAACTCCTGCATTAATCATTAGTCGTAGTCTGGTCTATTTATCCACAATACTTGAAAGTAGGGCGCGACGGCGCCATCCATCATAAGATGCGTTTACCGAGGAAAAGGAGGTACAAAACTTTACCTTGAATTGTCCCAGGTGATCGACGTGACAGGTAAACGTCGCGTCTCTTCCGAGCGGAACCGTCAGATTCGCGATCGACTGCCGAAATTCCGGCTGGAAGGCACCCCCTGAAACAGTCGAGGGATATCCAGAGTTATTACCGGCCATCGGAACTCTTATCGTGCCGTTTCCGAACCCTAAATCGAACGTCGAGGTGTCAATCGACTCGTTTAAACTGACTTTTGATTCTACTTCCGCATCTCCTCCGGCACTCGCTCGTTAGAAATAATTCATCGACCCAGTATTTCCGTAGCGTACCTCGGTTGAAATTAAGGGAAGCCACAATAAGACGTAAGGCAACCATGTTACCGGGTAGCGTAATGGAAGTAGAGCGCCCTCGACTACAGAGAAATTAGCAAGCCCAAGTTACGGCGTGGCGATGTAAAATTAAGAGTCCCTCGACGGAGCGGAGCGGAGCGGCGACGTCTTAAATGTCCTGATAACGATGCCAAATTCATGCTCGAACGTCGTTATGCAAGGAGAATATTAACCCCTCTCTCGATGTTTCAACGAGATCGGCTTGGAAATGCAAAAAAAATGCGCTATAAATGTTTCGGGTATATTCATCGCGGAATATTAAACTGAAGGTACTTCTATAAAAGCTTTCTTATTATCGATTCATTTCTCGCTGATTATCGCCGCAATGCATTTTTAGTTAAATTCGACACTAATATGCAGGGAAGATACGGAGGGAATTCGGAAATGCAAAAAACAAACGCGCTATAAATTTTTCGGGCATTATCATCGCGGAATATCAAATCAAAGGTACCTATATAAAAGCTTTCTTATTATCCATTCATGTCTCACTGATTATCGCCGCGATGCATTTTTCGGTTAAACTGGACACTAATATGCAAGGGAAGAAACGGGGGGAATTTGGAAATGCTAAAAGAACGCACTTAAATTTTTCGGGCATTATCATCGCGGAATATCAAATCAAAGGTACCTATATAAAAGCTTTCTTATTATCCATTCATGTCTCACTGATTATCGCCGCGATGCATTTTTCGGTTAAATTGGACTCTAATGTGCAGGGGAGGAAACGGAGAGAGTTCTAACTTGGTTCTTAAATGTTAAACTAAAAATGTCGAACGTCGTTTCCACGTCGCGACAATAACGGACGTCAAATGTTCTCTGAACGTTATGAAATTAATCGTCGATCATGATCGAAGCGGAACATTATCGAGAATACCTCGTACCCGGGATCTTTAACAGTCGGCCTCGCATCGAATATTTCAGCGACGTTAAACGGTCCGATTTTGTGGTGAGCTTGCCGTTAAGCTTCGAAGGCTTAGCATGGACTATTGAGCTGAAAGCGTGACTTTAAAGATCCTTTCGTTTTTTTGATCACCAAATCGTAGTACTATCCCATTTTAAATTATTTTCGACGTACACCTGTCAGGAATCCAATTGAAAATGTGCATTTCATTTTGGAAAATCCGCGAAAAATGTACTATTAACGTGTCAGGGAATAATTAAGAACATTTTTAATTTACTTACCATATATGCTCGTGAATCGAAATCGATGAGTAAAATGATTCGTTTCCATCTTGGACTTTATTTTTTAAAAACATTCATGGCTCGACAGCGATACCGGATGATGGATTTTATTTTTTTATTTTACATTTAAAAGGATCGTACCCCTAGATTAGGATCCAACCAAGCTCATTATGTTCATGTTTCGTCAATTTAATATTATAATAAATTCAAGTTTGTTTCGTTCGCGACAAGTCCCACTTCATTCGGGTACGTTCCTTCCTCGCGTGAGCAGTTGTACGAATATCCCATTTTGCAATTCTACTTGCAAAAACAATCCGGATTCGTACAACAACTGCCCGACAAACTATCCGGGCGGAACACAATTTTAAAACACCCCATCCGAGAGGCGCATCGGCGATTCGCAACCTCCCATCCGGCTCATCTAAGTGTCAAACGTGTCGTTATCGCGGAATCGCTCCGTGAAATCACTCGACGAAGCGATCACCCCCGACTCCTGATTAGCAGCCCTCTCTCTTGGAAGTAAACCATTCACGGGGTAGTACAACTCGTTGAACAAATTCCTCCCTCTCGATTCTCCCATTCCGCACTTAACGCTCCTGAAAAGCCGCCGAGCGCGTCCCGGCCGCGTGCGTGGGAAATAAATTGAAAAGGGTGGACGGAGCGAAGGAGGGCGGGGAGAAAAAAGGCCCGAAAAAAAGCACAGAGAGACAGAGTGGCGGCCCGGCGTGCAAACGGGCTTGCGCCCGCCGATTCACGGATTTGACTTTCTCCACGCCGCTTGCGGCACGCGGTAATTCGATATCGGATAAATGAGCGGAAATATACCCGTCGGCGTCGATATTGAATATCCGCGCGCGTGCCCGAACGCTATCGCGTTCAAGGGGGCTCGTGTTCATGCAAATCGCTTTTTCGCCCTCTCCTCCCTCCGTCTCGCTCCGTCGCCCGGTTTCACTCTCCGTCCCTCTCTTTTCTACGTCCGCCGTCCATCCGCACCGCTCGGTTCGTCCCTCTTCGAAACGATAAACACGGATCGAGCCTGCCGAGTTTGACAGCGCGTTGCGCCGATTAACGAAATTATGTTTCGTGCTTCGTTACGAATTGATTGCCGTCGCGGATTGCCGGCCGCCCCGGCGCCTACCCTCCTGTGAATGGCCACGAAAGGTTCACTGTTCCTTGTCGCGAGTTTACAAAATCTACGTACTAAAATTCACGGATTGACGTCTACGCGGAGAACAATAATTTCGTTACAATTACTATAGGGAATTACTACATGGTTAAGATACTGTGGGAAGTAAAACTGCGTAAATGGTGAGTGACCACGTGGAATGGTAAATGTAACCTTGCTAAAAGGTGCTGTATCCATGGCGCTACGTTTAAGGGGATGTGGAAGTGGCATCTGAGGGGCCGATCGTTCATGAAACTTGCATGAAATTGAACGACAACTTAACTGGGTGTACCGAATCGTTTCATATTTTACAACGTCAGTATGGAGTCTATAAAGAAGGTTCTGACAATCGTGAAATTATATTTTTTGTACAACATTTTTCAAGTATCTATAAACAAATTGTTGAAAAATTGTAATTTCGTGAGTTTCAGGACCTTCCTTATAGTCTCCATATTCATGTACGAAAGTTTAAAGCGACTCGGTAAACCCAATTCAGAAAAAAGTTTCATTAACAAAACCTCTTCGACGCCACTTTCGCATCACCTTAACACATTTGCGACCGCTGACGTAAATTCACGTCTTTTCAAGTTCTAATCCTGGTTGCCGCTGACGTGAATCACGTCCATAACGATACACGATACAAGTTTGCGGCAACCAGTTTCAGAATTTCATTATTTTCGGTGGTACTCAGTATTTGAAACGGAAAAAATTTGGTGGTCGCGAATGTGTTAAAAGGTGCAGGAGTGATCACCATTTTGAATGGTGATATTAATTATACGAAGAGATACTGAAATTTCTGTCGGCAAAGTAAAATGAATAAATAAATACAAGATTTAGAGGTTCAACTGATTGTGAGATCGACATTTCGACTCTGACTATCTGGAAAGCAATTCTGCGCGAAAATTCCCCGTTCGAAAAGACTTTATAACCCTCTTCGACTTCATTGGAAACACGATAGTCCCGATACCGATCGAAAGCTGGTAAAAGAGCCGTTTATCGTAAAACACCGGTAACAGAATGCAGGAGTATTATTCGGCAGGGAAAAGGGACAATCGCCGTGGGATCTTAGGAGCTGCACCCAGAGAAAATCCATCGAAGTGAGAGCGGATCGCCAGGAAGACTTTGCGACGTCCCCCGAAAGGAGAGCGCGAAGAAACGCGGAAATAACGATGCGTTTTCGCCGCTGGCGTTACGACCCCCCCGTTTACAGCGGCGAAATAAATCCCGAGCTCGCATCCGCGGAAAAGAACGCATACAGGCAGCTGCACCGGTCAAGGAGATATCCTCAAGTTTTGGGAAAAATTCCGGAAGACAGTGCACCTCGACCGGAAGGACGCATCTCCCATTGGTTTCACTTCCTCTGTTAAAAGGAAACCCCCGAAGAGAAAAGTCCAGCTTCCAGAGCGCGAGTTTATGGACCCAACGTGATTCGGGAAGCCGAAAACAGAGTCGAGGATTTGAATAAAAAACCACTTTACGCGTTACGACGCCTCTTCACGACGCGCGCATAAACGCTGGAGGTGGAGATGTGCAAGAGGAACAACACTAGATGTCTAAAGTGCGAGGCCGAGGAGATATAAATTGAGAAGGGGAGGAAGGAAACTCGAATCTAACGCGGAAGTGTAATAGGATTTTTTTGTCATTTTGAAGTTTTTCTGATTTTGCATTCGCGGTGCCGAAACAAAGGGCGAATAAAGAACGGAAGAAGTCCTGGGCTGTATTAATCTGCGCGGCTGTGAAAAAAGGGCCAAGGAAGTGCAGCTGCGTTTTCGCCGCTTTAACAATCCCGCGGAAAATAAAGGAGGAATGAAAGATGCGAGCGCCCTTTCGCTTTCCGCGTTATTACCCTATGTTTTTGAATATGCTTATGAATAATGTCGAGCCTCGAAACGCGGGAAATGAAGACGCGGCCAGGAGATATCCGCGTTATCGCGAGAGGCCCTGCGCTCGTATATCAAGCCGGCGTCAACGTATCCGGCTTTATTGTATCTTCTATATTGAACGTCACAGATTTACGCTTGTCGTTTATGTGGCCGCCGCCTTAATGCGGTTTACGTTTATTGTCCCGTGAAGTACTTCCGGTTCGGCATAATAAGACGCCCCGGCGTTCCCCCGAAGCCGTGCTTCGGAATCAACCGTTTCTTTTTTCATTTTTGCGAAATATTTCAACCTCGTATAGAAGAAACGCAACCAGACTGAGCGAAAGCTTTTTTCCATTTCATTTTTAACGCCAACGAAGGAGCATTTCCTTTCCCTTCCCATTCTCTGGTACGCCACCGATAGTAAATGTAATCTCATTTCATTATTAAAGGAAAACATGTACTATGTACATTTAAGTATGTAATATATGCAACATACACCTGATTTTCCCTCCTGATGCCGACTCTTTATACGAGGATCCGA